ATGTGATTTTATTGCTCGATAAATTTAATTGTTGTTTTTCTTTTTTTGGTTTATCTTTATTGAAAAATTTTGATAGTGTAGAAGATTTATTATAACTATAATCATGTCTTTATCAGAAAATATTTCATCGCTTGCGGCACAAGGAAAAAAAAGAGCGAGAAGAGATTATTTTATAAACGTCAAGAGTACTTATTACATTTATGAATATTAAAATAAGGCTTTTTACAATTTTTTTTCTATTATATTAAAGATGAAATCGATGTTTTTTATTTCATAATAATATTTATTGTAATCGAAAAGAATAAGACGTTTGTCAATCATGTAGAATTATACGCTTTGTACCAATGTTTATATTTTCTAGCAAATCAAAATGTATTGTTTACATTGACTTACTGAATTCTATCGTAAATACTATCATTGAAATCATTGTCAGAAACTTTAGTTTTATTAAGAAAAAAAGTTTTGCGGTCTTTTGATAAATATCTATTTAGTAAGAGTAATTTTTAACATCATCACACCATGATGATCGATATTTGGTGATGTATAACTACCAGTAAATGTTCCTAAATCTTGTCGAGCCCATAAATCTCGAACAACAGCTGAATGATCCATAGGAAAATCAATGTCACTCCATTTAACAGTAATTGGCTCACTTCCAATATCACCTCGATTCAATAAAAGTACAGCTTGTGAACCATCTGATAATGGACCTGCCCATATTTCTAGTTCCGGTATTAAAGCTAAACATTCACCATTGTGTTTACTTTGTAGAGTTCCATCGGTTGTATTCCATATCCATGCTTGATTATCTTGTTTATTACATGCATATACATCAACATTAGGTCCATCAAAATTATATACATCCAAACTAAATAATTCAAATATTATTTTTCAACTCTGCTAAACAATAATTTCAATTTTCACTTACCATTTTTCATCCATTTGAGAAATAATAGTTTGTTGAGATAAATCAACTTTCCATTGTTGATTTTTACCTCCACATTGTGCTTCTGGATCATTAATATGACAATCATTTAAAACAATATTTGCTGTATCTGTAGTATTACAATTTTCTATTGATAAACATTTTT